TTCGTCGGCTCTGGTGTCTCTGGTGGTGAGGAGGGTGCCCGATATGGCCCCTCCATCATGCCCGGTGGTAACGAGGAGGCCTGGCCTCACATCAAGGACATCTTCCAGGCCATCGCTGCCAAGAGCGATGGTGAGGCCTGCTGTGAGTGGGTCGGCGACGAGGGTGCTGGTCACTACGTCAAGATGGTTCACAACGGTATTGAGTACGGTGACATGCAGCTCATTTGCGAGGTATGGAACTATATCGTACGGACCCAATTGCGCGTGAGACTGACTGGGTGAATACAGGCCTACGACATCATGAAGCGCGGCCTCGGTCTCTCCAGCAAGGAGATTGGCGATGTCTTTGCCAAGTGGAACAAGGGCGTTCTGGACTCTTTCCTCATTGAGATCACCCGTGACATTATGTACTTTAACGACGACGATGGCACTGCTCTCGTTGAGAAGATCCTCGACAAGGCCGGCCAGAAGGGAACTGGCAAGTGGACTGCTGTCAACGCCCTCGACCTCGGCCAGCCCGTGACCCTGATCGCTGAGGCTGTCCTTGCCCGATGCCTGTCTGCCATCAAGGACGAGCGAGCTGTCGCCTCTACCAAGCTTGAGTTTGTCAGCCGCGTGACCAAGTTTGAGGGTGACAAGGAGCAGTTCCTCGAGGATCTCGAGCAGGCTCTCTACGCCTCCAAGATCATCTCGTATGCCCAGGGCTTCATGCTCATGCAGGAGGTAAGCTTGTCAACAAGACATTTGACGGAATCATGACTTACACAAATTCTAGGCCGCCAAGGAGTTTCACTGGAAGCTCAACAAGCCTTCCATCGCCCTCATGTGGCGTGGTGGCTGCATCATCCGATCCGTCTTCCTCAAGGACATCACCTCTGCCTACCGTAACCAGCCTGACCTCCAGAACCTTCTGTTCGATGACTTCTTCCACAAGGCCATCCACAAGGCTCAGCCCGGCTGGCGAGACGTTGTCGCCAAGGCTGCCCTCCTTGGTATCCCTACTCCCGCCTTCTCCACTGCTCTGTCGTGGTTCGACGGCTACCGCACCAAGGACCTCCCCGCGAACCTCCTCCAGGCTCAGCGTGACTACTTCGGTGCCCACACCTTCCACATCAAGCCCGAGAATGCCAGCGACAAGTACCCCGAGGGCAAGGACATCCACGTCAACTGGACTGGCCGTGGTGGTAACGTGTCGGCCTCTACCTACCAGGCATAAGGGATGTTTTGTGAATGGGGTAGCAATGGTTATCTAAGTTAAATAGGGTCGAGTTAAGGGAAGCTCGAAGGCTGCGTCACATCAAAAGCGTCGAATAGGAACGCAGGAACACGCAGGCGCTGCAACGGATAGGTAATGACTGAGCTAGCTATGGATTAGAGGCTCAAGTGATGAATTTTGGGACCATATAAGCTCAAGCAGAACAAAATAAACAAGTTTAAGCATAAGCTGAAGTGAAGATGCTGTGTGTTCATGATAACTGAGTACCAGGGTACAGAATAGCACGCGGTCGTAAAAAACTCGAAGGCACCAGGACGGCTGCGCTTAGTTAAGAGTATTCAGTTTGCAGCCTAACTAATATCATAAGTCTTGGAACATTTTATTTAGTTACCTCTAGGATTTTTCATATCTTTTATGTTGAAGATTCCTCTTTGCCCGGTCATGGTAATTTGGTTGACGCGGTTGAGGGTGGATCCACTTTTTGGCCTCCAAGATCGTAACCTCTGATTGGTCACATGCTCGCAGCCTTGTCGCGAGAAGTTTGGGGCCGTGCAAGGACTCGTCGCTCTCTCTAACACCTCCATCGCATTCTTACTTGCTGCATTGCGCCAGGTCATTTCGTCACCGTTTACTGGCCGATTCAGCTCATCGAACTCTCCCGGCGCCGAATCAATAGCAACGCGCAATTTTGTAAATACTCAATCGCATCATCAGAGGCGTCGACACGCTGTTGCCTCGTCGGCCGCGACGATTCGACTTCCAACATGGCTCAACCGGATCCTAGCCAGGGCGTCCCCCAGGACCTCGTATGTCAACACCACCATGCGCGCGCAGCCTCTGTCGTCGCAATTCCCCTCTAACAGTCTCGTAGATCCAGCATGTCCACCTTATCTCGGCGTTTCGATACCCGGCGATGCCCCGGCTCGACCTCAACGAGGTCGCTAAGTGGCTCATGAGCGCCCCCCAGGTCGCGCGAGACCGAGCTCCCTTCTTCTGGACATATCTCGAAAAGCCCACCGACGGCACCATCCTCTTGACCTGGCAGCCTCTGCAGCGTCTCGGTTCCACGTTTGCGACGGATGGTTATGTCTGGGCTCCCCCGGAGCAGCTGTACAAGCATGACCTGGGCAACGGATTGGTAAGGTCGGATAGCCATTGTCACGATGCGCATGCTAAGACACGTCTAGATGCTCGAGATTTACTACCAAAAGGCCGGCTACGTTCCTGGTGAGCAGTATGCCCTCCACGCCCGTCGTCGATGCCGATTAGTCCCCGTCCCCGGTCATCCCAACCCTCCTCAGCCAGATGTCAGCCTGTTTATCGTGCATTACGGGCCGTCGGAGCCAAACGACAGGATCCCCATCGCCATGATCCCCTACGACGAGCGCGTCAACGCCCTCATTCAGCAGCGACACTTTCTTCAGCGAGCCGGTCAGATTCGGCGCAAGGAGTTCATGCTGTCCGACCGAGTCAACTGGCCCACTCTACCAGACCCTACCCGCCAACAAGTCCCTCCTCAGATGGCCCCCCGAGGTGTCCCTCAGCAGATGGCATACCCTCCACAGGCCACGCCCGGTCCTCCTGCTAAGCGCGCGAGGCACGCGGCGAGCCAAGGTGGTCAGGCTGCCATCCCGGGGATGCCTCAACTGGATGCGGCGTTTGATGACGACGAAGATGTCTCAAGGGGCGACATGTTTGATCATCTTACGCCAAGAGAGATTGCTTTGAGTCGGTATCAGCAGAATCACGAGTGGATGGAGGAAATCCTCTCGTCTCCGTACCGGATAAGCCAAATCACACCAGCCGACCTCGGTCTTGGTTTCAAGGGCGAGCTGGCGTCATTGACAGAGGGAATCTTTCCCACTCAGGGAGACGCCTTTGCAACTGGACCTGATAAGCCTTATATCGGACGACTAGACCCCGAAAAGGCAGACGAGTTCCGCAGGCGAGTCACTGAGCACATCGAGTCGACCAAGGCTGAAATAGAGAGGATGCAAGCGGCTCATGCTGAGGCTCTCGCCAAGTTCAAGGCGAACTCCATCTTTGACTCCAAGGAGAAGGAACTACGGAATGTCGTCGAGGGAACTGGCACTGAGATCTGGCGGGTTGAGGGCAAGGTAGACCCGCTCGACGATGACCCATCTCCCCGTCCTGTTAGCAAGAAGACGGCCGAAGACATAGTATCAGAGGTCGAGAATGCCACGGGAAAGAAGGCTGTAAGCAAGCCAGTAGTGTCGCGTATTCAGGACGGTGGTTATCAGGCACCGGCACCGGAACCTACGCAAGCTGCGGCTCAGCTGTCTCGTCAGGCTTCGCAGTCTGGCTCACAGAACAGTGGTGTCATGATTGGGGAATCTGATGTCGATATGGGTGGCACTGCTGCTGGACTGCTTGACCAGATGCACACGGGCATCTCAGCCACATCAACGCCCATGAACACGTTTGGCACTCCTCAGCCGAACCTGACAGCATCGGGAGCCGGGACTCCTTCGAACCCCAATGTCCCATCGCCTGCTCCCGGACAAGCTGGAGCAACATCAGCACCAGGTGGTGGCGATGTGACGATGGGTGGAACTGAGGCAAGCAAGGACCAAACTACCACAGCGCCTGATCAGGGAACTGGCAGTGGAGAATGGGTTGTCGTGCCTAAGGACGGCGCCACTCCTGATCCAAATGCGCCTGCTAACGCTGCTGCTGGGTCGGGTACAGCATCTGCGAATGCTAACACTCCCAATGCACAAGGCCTCGAGAACAAGCCCGCAGCCCCCAAGACGGCCTCTGCAGGGGCAACGCCAGCTGCCGCGACACCAGGTGGTTCTCTATCATTTGATCAGAACGACTTTAGCTCACTCGGCGATCTGGATACGGCAGGAGACGCCCTTGCTGGCTTTGATGGGCCTACGTTGGACGGATCTGCAGGCGAACTTGGCGAGGGTCTGGATCTCAGTATGGACATGGAGGATTCGGCGTTTGGCGATGCCTTCCACGGCGTCGAAGCCTCGGGGACTCCAGGACAGGGCCCAGACATGTAGGGCTTAGGCATGGGCATGTGACAAGGAGGCCGGTTATACAGACGGCTAGGGCTAGCTACAGTAAAGTGCGGATCGTAGATGGAAGCGCGGCTTAGGCTTGGGGCTGGGGCTCAAACGTCGGAGAATGGAGTGTGTTGTGTCAGGGGGGGCTTAACTGTTTCCTCCTCCTGACAAAGATGACGTTAGGTTCTTTTTTGTTTTTTTGCCATGTAAGAGTCAAGTTTTTGTTGTTATTTTAATACCGTAGCAACTACGGAGTATCAGTAGACACCAAAGGGCAAGGGAAAATGCTAAACAAAGGAGGCTTTTTGGGTTATGCTACGTTTGATCTACAACGACTTTATCCCGAGTTTCAAGTTAAGGTGAGGCGGGTTGTGGGTGTTTGATCGTCACTCAGGGGGAGTTGTATCAGAACTTCTCTTTCTCTGAGGCTGAAACATTATGTCGGTCTCGTAAGGGATCTTGGCCTGGCTTAGATGGCTTGGCAAAGTTTGAGCATCATGTTTTACGACGGAACTCGGTTGACTTGAACCGAGGCGTTGTTTGGTGAAGGAGGGTATATCTACCCTTTGGATGTCCAGTCTCAGTGTTTGGTCTCTTCAAGCGCTGGGCGACTTCTTTCACTTTCTTCTCTGCTGGGCAGTTTCTTTTTCGTCTCTCCTTCTTTTCCCTTTACCAATCGTTTTCATCTCGAAGAACATCTACTCGTTAATCACTAAACTCCTAATCATCCCTTCTCCTAAATCTTCAACATGCTTTCACGGTGTTGCATTGCCCTTGTGGCTCTACGAGTCGCCACGGCACAACTGATTATTGAGCCAGTAAGTGCAACTCTATTTAATATTACTATAAAGTGTAACGGCTAACATCTTCAAGTCCAGCTCAACACTTGTTGGAGGCATTCTCATCGAGACGGTTGCTTCTCAGCCTCCCCCAGCACTCAGTTTCACCGATTCCTTTGATCCGGAAACAACAGACGGAATTGTCCCTGAATCGGAGACGACTGAAGTGCCTACCGCAACTTCTGAAGAGAAGCTGTTGATTGATACAAGCGTCCCACCTATTCTTCCTGGCCTTAGATCGTCTGATGCCGCGGATTCTTCAAGCATCTCAGAGACCGTAAGTAATAGGTGTCTCTTTGGAGAAATAATTTCTAATTTTCCAGGATTCAATTCGTTCACCTACCTCAACTAGCTCACCAAGCTCGTTTACTCCCACAGCCGATGGCAGGATAATCAGCACTCCACGACCAGTCGCAACTCCCACAGCTGTCCTGACACCAGGCAATGGAACATTTACGGGCTTTCGCAACTCTACTAGAACCGAAGCTGGTGCTTCCACAACCGTCTTGCCAAGCTCGGGATCTGGTGGATCAGGGTCAGGATCAGGGGGTAATGTGAAAGAGGGCAGCAAGAACACTGACGAGGACGAAGATGATGAAGTTGAAGATGACGAAGACGAGGATGACGACGACTCGGACGACGAAGACAGCGATGACGAAGATGAGGATGATGACGAGGATGAAGACGAAGAGGAGGAAGAAGAAGAAGGTGGATCTTCAAGCTCCGACTCTGATTCTGCCGACGCCACGACCTTTACAAGCGTCACTCGCGCAGGAGAAACTGCAGTCGCAGAGTCTGCTTCTGCCGACGAGGAACCTTCAGCTGCTCATCATTCAAGCCCAGGGGCCTTGCTGTGTCTATCAGTTCTCGTCATGGGGGCAACTATCCTCGTGTAAGCGAGTAGATGTAGTTTCAAAACAACAAGATTCGGCACAGGAGAATCATGGAAAAGAAACCTGGCCTCTTACATCATCCCATCCAAAGTCTGCAGTATCTCTCATGAATAGTGATACGACGAGGAATAGCTATCGACATCGCTTAAGGATTCAGAGGCTTCATATAAGAGTTACAAAGTGTTGATCATGTTAATCTAAGGCTTTTCGATGCTCTATAAAGTATGCTAAAAGGATATCTCCACAAATGGAACAACAAATGAAGTTAAAAAGAATCCTTAAAACTCCCAACATGCAAAATAGGAAAAAAAAGGAGAACCAACACTCAGGGCATCCCATTACGGATATTGTCGTATACACTCGTCGGGTACCTCAGCAGATTCTGAGAAACCTCCAGGGTCCCAAAACTCTTCTTGACCGCTGATACAACGCTCTTAGCTCCTAGCTTGTCACCGCTGGCCTCCCAGTAAAACGCACCACCAAGGCCCCTTTGGGCGATGTACGCCGCCTTGAGCCTGGCAGAGTCGGCGCTGTCAGTGGTGACAAGCTCACGCTTCGACTTGTCGTAGGTGATGATGGTCATGAGGTTCTTGTCGATGGCAGCCTTTGCGCCGGGACGGGGAAGGTCTTTGAATAGGTAGATGCCGTTCTCGTTGCTGCCGCCGCCGACGCCACTGTAAGTCTGGCCGAGGCCGGCTGTATTGGCGAATGAACGGCCATAAAGAGGGATACCCATGAGAATCTTCTGGGGGGCTACTCCAGCGCTGACATAGTCGTTGATGGCCCTGTCAGTGCTGAACTTGGTTGAAAGGGGGTTGCTGGAAGATAGATAAACGTTGGCTTGGTGGCCAGTAGTGGTATCCCAGCCACCAGCATAATCATAAGCCATGAGATGCCAGCCGTCAAGGTACTGATCCATAGCCTTGAGCTTCATAACGTTGTAGTTGGCAGGACCGGCAGCCGTGGCGACAGTGAGTAAGAAACGATAGTTGAGCTTGCTATCTCTAGAGAACTTGTCAAGAGCCAGACGAATCTCCTTGAGCAGGTCGACATAGTTCTGAGCCTGCTGGGCATTCTGAGGATACTCCCAGTCCACGTCGATGCCGTCAAAGCCCCAGTCGCCGAGTAGCTTGACGGCACTCGCGGCGATCTTTCTCCGCCCGGCTAGTGTGCTCGCGGGTTGGACAAAGTGTGGGCTGAGCGTCCATCCGCCGAGGCTCATGAGGACTTTCATGTTGCGGTACTTTTTCTTGAGGATGTAGAGTTGCTTGACACAGCCGTATACGTTGTTACCCGACTCGTTCCATGAGTCTCCATCGTAGTGCTTGTCGGTATCGGCCCAAGTATCAGTAGATTTGCTAGACAGGATTAGCAATAGTAAACTCATCAGCAAGCCAAGTACTTACACAGTTCCATCTTGGGCGATATCCAGGAACGAGTAGAGAACGTGGGTGACTTCAGAAGCGGGGATGTTTTGAGGTTGAAAGTTGGCTCTGTAGATTCCCCTTATCTCATCAGCATAGTTCCTTATATTATCCAAGCCTCAACGCCATGCGGGGCCACTCACCAGTTGGTAAAGTAAAGAATGTTTCTCCTCCTGACACCCCTAGTCTCCACGATAGTAGTGTTGTCGTTGGCCTGCTCCTCCTCAGAAGAGTCGTCTTCAGGGGCAGGGCTCTCGGCTGTGTCGACGCCAGGAAAGTCCTCGTCAGAGTAGTCAAAGTCGTCGTCAATAATATCAGTCTCATCTTCCTCAACAGCACGGGGCTTCTTCTTGTAGCCGAATGGTGACCTAGGAGGGATGAACTCGGGAACTGTAGACTCCTCAGGGGTGTCCGACGAAGGAGGGCTAGACTTCTGAGGTCCTCGGTAAGGACCCTTGGGCTGGATGAATTCAGGAACCTTTTCTTCGACCTTGACTTCGTCAGAAACGGCGGTAGCAGCAGGCTGGTCTGCCGAGTCTTGGTCGGAGTCCTGAGTCTTCTTCTTTGCGACCTGGAAGAGCTTGGGAGGGATGAACTCGGGGACAGTCGAGTCTTTGGAGCTGGTAGAGTCGCCAACCTGAGGTTTGGTAGGCTTGTTTGACTTGTTGGGCACCTTGACCCACGGCTGCTTCGGGGCGATGAACTCAGGGACGGTCCCGTCCGTGTTGTCTTTGTTGTTGTTTGGTCTCTGAGACTTGGGAGCCTTGACCCATCCCAGCTTGGCCTTGACCCAGCGGGCGTCGATTGTTTGGTCGGCAGAGTGGGCAGTTGTGGTTGGAGTTCCTCGGTTGCCATGGTGTACCTCGTCATGGAGATGTCTGTGTCTTGCCTCTAGTCCGGGAGCAGCGAGAACTGCTTGCACCAGAAGAGGTGCGAACAGAAGGAAATGCTTGAGCATGTCTGAGTATGAAGCTGAAGGAGTGTAAGAAGGGGTGGATGAGTTGATGGTGAAAGGAGTGTTGTTGAATAAGTAGATTCAAGTGAGCGGCAGGGCTTCCTTTTCAAGATTTGTCGATCAATACCCCGGCACAGTCAGAGGATTCCACACGTCAGCTGAAGACTTGAGAGACAAGATGCTGAAGCCGGCTTCTGAAGAATAGAGAGGTTGGTTGAAATCGACGGAGCCGGAAAGTATATAGCTGAACCACTTTAAAGAATGAAACAAGGTGAGGAGTGCCGTGATAGAATAAGAAATAGCTTTAAAAGAGTGAAACCACCTTGTCGAGAGAAAAGTGAGACATGGGGGGACTTGAAGCCCGCCTTAAGAAGGGCTTTGAGTAGTGGACGCCAAGAGGCTTTGGCATGAAGAGTCCAATACATGACCGGACTATGCGATACGTTGGCAGACGCGTGTGCAGCTTAGTCCTCGAAAGGAGCCTAGACGATCAAACTGCGGAAAGCAACGACGCCAGCCCCCCCCGCCTCAGGCGATACTCGTTCTCGACTGGGAGGGCCGGCCGGAAGGGATCTAGAGACACGGTGGGGAATAGGGAAAAACGTGGGTTGGCATGTCTGAAGCTCCCTCGAGGAATGTCCTTTGAAGTCAGGTCCGGCGCTAGTCGAGGCATCTGCGGGAGGGCTGGCCCGTCTAGTGGTGGATATTGACGATAGAGTTCTAAGAGTCTTGCGAGGCCCTTTTCAAGGGAATGTCCCGTGCGTCTTATCGTGGTGTTGATGCCCATCTTGGACGAAGTGGCTTTCCACCAGGGGCAAGCCTTTCAGGGACAGATCTGTTCCTGCGTAAGCCTTTTGCCATCTGATCGATGTTGACTCTTCAGCTTTGAATCTGCTTCTTTGAAGAATCTCTGTATCAAAAATGTGTCCAGAATCGTGAGAGTCGTCACCCCAAGGTCGTCCGATGTAAACGCTTTCGTCAACCACCATCAGATGATGCCGGATTCATATGTCTCACAGAGCACTTAAAGTCCCCTAACCACATGAACCAATGTCTCACTTTTTTCCGCCTCCTCGCCTCTCAAAAACCCATCCTTCACCACGAGGGCAAAGAATATCGTTCAGTGGCGCAGGGGCATTTCGTCAGGCACAAGACACAAAACGAGACTTGGCATCAGCGACGACGGCTTCACCGAAGAAGAAGAAGAAAAAACGACATCGTTTACTAACCAGAAAGTCGAGACCTCAACCGTGGAGTCCGGGGTTCGGCATGGCATCGCCCGTTGCCGTTGACCTGCTGATCCAACGGACAGGAAGCCAGACCCAGCTCTAGAACCAGGAGCGAACAATTCCGGGGCTTCTATTATTTGAAATAGACAGATTCATGGTTCTCTTAGTAGAGGCCTCTAGGTGAATCCCTCGGCGAGGCGTCTGGACGCTATTGAAGCCATCGTCGATAGCCACCGCCTCGAACCCCTTCGAGGAATTCCTCCCTTGTCATGCTGCATTCCAATCAAGGGCGTACCCGACTCAGCCTCCTGGTTTCGTCCAGTATTCTCCGCGTGTCTCGGATATGAGACACGCATGGCCGCCTTTGTGATGAATGCATTGTCACTTCAAGACATTATCTGGAGCCGTTGTCATTGTCACGTCGTCATCATAGCCCTTGGAGACAGCGCCCTATGCAACTTCAAGCTAGTGAGAATCAATGCCCGCAAGAGATGCCCTCTTGTCTCGAATGTGCCGTCCGGCTGTATTGTTCTTGGGGGGCTTCAGCGAGTCTCTTGGTAGAGAGTGTACGTCTCAAGTGAACCTGTGTATTAATCAAACTTGTCATTCTGCGTTCTCGGCTATAAACCCCAGTCAGTCAATCCGTCACTCCTCACACAGATACAGCACCAGCCCTCTGGCTAAGACTCCATTTCCTCGTTGCCAGAATCTGTCGTTGCCTCGCACTGGCTTGACCTTCGTAGCCGTTCTTCCCGGAGTCAATGGTCTCGAGGTCGGCCAGCTCCTCGGTATGTCGGGGTCGCTCGTCCCGCCTCGCCGACAGGTAGAAAAAGTCCCAGAGGAAGCTTCGTTCCAGCTGGCGAGGCTTTCCGTCGGCCGTCCAGTACCGTTCCTCGCTGAGCTCTTGCGAGAGGTGGCGACGAAAGTAGCGGTCCTGAGTCACCCACCAAGCGCGCCAGACGAAGAGGATTACCAGCGTCAGGGGGATCGCCGTGGCCCAGTAGTACCAGAAGTTCTCCCCGAACCGGTTGACCTTCACTGACTGGGCCATAGGTGCCTTTTCGTCTCCATTGTCCTCTTCGTCGGGCCCGAGCCAGTCAAACATAGACATGCCAAAGAGTGTGCCGAGAAACTCGCCGGGAAGGAAGATGGCCGTGATGACAGCCAGAGCCTTCATGGAAGAGCTGTCGCGGGTTGATGCCACTGCCATGCGAGCGTTGAGGATGTTGTCCTCCTGGGCCATCTTACTGTAGATCTATGTCGTGTTAGTAGGCATCTTAGGAGGAGTGTCACAACTTCAACTCACCATGTCAATTTGGGCACGGCATCTGGCCTCGGACATTCGCCTATCCGTCTCAAGGCCCATGCATAGACGCAGCAATCCATCAAGATACTGTCTGATTTCATGCCAATGCGGTCCCAGCGAGTCACCATCGCTATCTTCATCGGGCAGTCGAAGCTTAGGCAGGTTCTTGGGGGGCAGAACTGGGCTCACAGGAGCAGGTCCTCGCTCAGTATCAATGAAGATAGGGCTCAACATGCTGAGATCCTGGCCAAACGGTTGAACAGAACTTCCCATGCGCTCAGTGAGTTCGTCACCGGCGAGAATCAAGACCTTGACGGCACGCTCCATCCAGCGGATTGTGTCCAACAACTTGATGGTGTCCTTGAGAACCTCGTGCGCCCTCTTCATGAGCTTTGTCATGGTCATGGGTCCCCAAGCGATCCTGGCTCCGTCCTTACCGTTGCTAAAGGTCCGGCTGAGGCGTCGACCCCCCGGCAAGTCCTGCTGTTCAAAACCAGCGATGTTGCTGACATCGTACTCAAGATTAGCGACATTAGAGTTGTTCTCGATAACTGCCTCTTCACATCGCATAAATTGCACTTGAAGCAGCACCACTGGCGTGATCAGGGGGTGCGCCCAGTGAGTCCTGCATGACTCGAGGCGGTGGTCGTACTCGTCGAGGTCGTCGAGGCTGTGCCGCCTTGGCTCCCAGGACTGTCGGACTAGGATAGTCGCTGTGCGCTCCTTGACGTTGTAAGTCATGGAGAGAAAGTCGCAGGGCGTCTTGGGCATCTCGGAGAATGCGAGGATAATGCCTATGCTTGTTTAGTTGCCGATACTCTGCATGCACTTGATGCAAGGCTCACTCAGGCGTGATCCGTCCTTGGACCAGAACCTTGACTCTGTAGTCGTACGGGTCGAGTACTGCAGAGTGGCAGGATGCAGGTCCATGGCTGCCAGATCATCGACGGTCATGCTGAGAATGTCGCGGCCACCGTCATAGATGGTCTTGCGCTTAAAGCAGATGCTGCAGGGCGTCAGTGAACACGACTCTCCAAGGCTGGGCTTTGAAAAGACATGCACTCTACGAATACGGCCTTCCATTCCGGCTGATGTAGCTTCATCCTGGTCTGGCTTGCGAAATGTTCCCTACGATTGGTCAGTCAAGTGTCGCTCCATTGCAACTCAGATACACACACATTGCGATCAAGGAGAAACCCGTGACGGAATGCCTTGTCAAATAGGATATTTCCAGGAGCGTCATCACGCGTAAAGTGATGGGCAATATGCTCATCTTCCTCTACTACGTGCTCTCTAAGGGTTGCCGGTCCCGACTCTTCAGGTCGCTTATAGACAACGTACTCGTCGTACTCGATGTTGGAGGGTGTGCCGTTGGCAGTGATCAGAACCTGACTGGAGCAGACGCTCTGATCATAGTTGAAAAGGTCCAAACCATGATGAACCAGCCCCATTATGGCGGTTGAGCTCCACCGCCGGAAATCGACAGCGTAGTCTTGCGAGACTTGAGAAGAACGGCCACCCTCTTGTACGGGGCGGAGAACTCTGGAAACATGGGATCACACGAATGTGGGAAACTAGAAGAAGGGGAAGGGGAAGAAGGACGGTGGATAAAGTGTGTGCGTGTCTATTCAGAAGGATCATCCAGCGGGTCGCGGCGTGTTATAAGCTTGGTTGGGATTGTTTGCCAAGAGGCTTGTCGATCAAGCTGACCGGGGTCACGTCGAGTAAGCCACCACAGTTGGGCGAACTGCACAATGACGAAGGCGTCATGGGGGGAACCACTCGGGCCCAAATCTTCCATAGGAGCGGCGCATAGATAGCAGGTTGGGAGTTGCTCTGCATCTACTCATGTGAGGGTAGCATCGAGGATGCGGCTGAGAACCCCGGCACCCCGGACCCCGTCGACGGCGAATGAGAACGGCCCGGAGCCCCGGAGATTCTCGGACGTGAAGGGGCTGGGGCGGTGGCTTAGATCCGGGGGTTTGATGGAGATGCTTCGCTTTCTAGAATGTGGAGAGAAGAGAGATGACAGATGTCGGGTCAGGTGTTCACGTGGGGGCTGCCTGTTCCTGGTTCCTTCCGTTCTGGGGTCATCTCGGGCACAAACGATGAGGCGAAGTTCAAGGTCTAGAACTCGGGCTATTAATTAATCCCTCGACCCGTGATCGATTCTGCGACGTTATCTCTGATTGAGCCTTGCTGCCCGACTCCTTCTGATAAATACGAGGCTGTCGACAGAGTCTCGTTGGGCTACAATCTTGGCATTGTTGGTGTTTAGCCCTGTAACATGTCGTTATTTATCCAGGATCTGTCACATTTACTCATGCATTTGACTGGAGGAAATTGAACATGGTTTGTATTGGTCAAGATCTTGAGATTGAACTAGATTGGAGGTTGGCTTATACCATGTTGTTGGTCCTCTTCGTTTCTTGGTTCCATTCTCTCTGTTGTCTCTTGACTCTTTTCGCATTGACCAGGGGCATTCTCTTCTTGTTGGTCTTGACTGAGAGCCTCCTTATCTTCCTCGTGACTCTCATCACCTTCGCCGTGATTAACACTCTCCCCCTTCTCCTCTTCCCTTTGCATCTCAACCTCCTCGATTGTCTCTCGGATATTCCCAATTATCCTCCTCGCCTTGTCAATCTTGGCATCTATGACGACGCAGTTTTTGCATTTGCATTGTACCTTCCGTGATGTCCGCAGATAAGGTATTTGGATGCGGCAGTCGCAATTTGTCTTTCCGGCGATGAAATCATCGGCTTCTTTGCAGAGCTTCATTCGGAGACCCCAGCATCTGTGCTTGCAGCTGAAGATGGTTTGTGAATACTGGCACATTGTTGACGACGGCTCAAATGTCTGATAAGATGGTAAAGGTCTTGTCTCGAGAGTTTCTCTTGTGTGAGTTGAAACTTTGGCATCATTGACCATTAGTGATTCAGCGCTGAACCTGTCTCTACTTGAATGATGTCCAACATTTTATAGATTCTTTGTTACTTTAACAGGCTCCTTGTTCTCCTTTCAATGCGCCAATATGCATGAACAAGGCATATATGTGTGTGAGGCAGAACAAGGCATCAGCCCGAGACATTAGTAGAGGTTTCGGCCATCTGGAGGTTTCCTGCTTCACTCACGGAAACTAATAAATGTCAACTTCCAGGATTTGAAGTATCACCGCCGTAAATCATTGCCGTCATATATGTTTTGCTGTACTCTCCTCATAATATTCACCCAACGACAGATGTACACCGCCCGTATCAGGTAACAAAGGAATCGCTGGTTGTTTGGCCTTTGACTTTATTGAGTCAACATTATTTCAAAGCTTCAAAGAACAACACCGTTCAACGAATCCGCCCTATCCGTCCAACAAGCCACTCTTCAGTACCTCCTCAAAGTCCCTTGCCCAAGATACCTTGACGTCAGTAATCTGTTCGCCAACGTGTGGAACAGAAACTCCCACCCTCCGCAGTGTCTTTAACAGAGAAGAATCGTCCTCATCTGAAATCACAACTCCTCCTCTCAGTAGACACTCCATATCCGTCGTCGAATCTCCAAAGTAAACCACCCTACCATCTTTCTCTTTAACCAAATGCTCCAGAGCCTCGCGCTTCTCGCAGGCGTTCGTCATTCGGCCCTTTAGAAACTCTGGACCCGTGATGGAACCATCGGCTGCAGGTTCGTTGGCGACGACGTCAAGGATGTGTGGCCGAAGAGCTCCGCGGATAAAAGCGCGTGACCAATTCACCGACACGACGCTCACGCTCCATCCTCGCTCGTTTGCCAGGCTGATAATCTCTGGAAAGCCTTGCCTGATCTTGATTCTTCCTTCTTTGACTGCGTCGGCACCGGCCTGCGACAATATCTCGGCGTCTAGCCCAGTAAAGATTCGAGACTCTGCGACACGCGCCAGTGAAGTCTCCTCGACGTCCTTCAAGCCCGAAAGGAAGTGAATCTCATCGTCGACGCAAGTTCGAGTGTCTTCCTGAGCGGGGTGACTCTTCTTGTAGCTCCGGTAGTCGTCGACATAAGATTGAACCACTTGGTCCCACGAGGCTTGGAGGTCATCCCCGCTGATCCGTCTCTGCAGCTCTATGGCTGACCGTGCAAGCTCGCCGATTGTATCTTGCTGAGTAATGGTGCCGTCAAAGTCGAATATCAAATGCATCTTTACAGAGGATCTTGATAGCGAGCCAAGTGCCGAATCCAAGTTGTTGTGCGCGCGGTGTTGGTGGTTGAAATTTGGACGGTGATGTTGATTGTGATGGAGAGGTTGCGGGTTACATCCGTCGGTTTGAGGCCAGGTTATAGCTTGACAAGATCTTATAAAGCAACTCTCGCCTCGACTCAACCACGTAAACAACGTAAACCACCTGATCAAGCCATTTTTCATTTTCTCTTAAACCCTCTAGCCAACTTGGAAGCTGTAACTGCGGGGAAGCCCATTACGTAGTTGTGCGCTTCAACTCCTCAGAGGGAGGAGTGGATCTAGATCATGACGAGAAATGAATGGCTTCTTCGCCAAGCAACACAACTTAGTCACCCACTATTGCATCAAGCACTGGCTCTAGTAGTAGCAACAAAACATTCGCTAGGTAGACTTATTACATCCAGCAAGTAACCTGTGAGAAAAAGGGTATCACGCTCTAAAACCCCTGGTCCTGATTTCTTTCCGACACCACCCAAAACTGGTCCCTTCCAATATGACACAACACTTCAACTTGCCCAACTTCGAAAAAGATGTAGACTTGCCTCGGTACTAAGACACAGGCAAGACATCCTCCATCTCCTCGTCATCATCGTCGTCAATGGGCTCGGCAGCCGCCTCCTTGGACTCTGCACCTCCCTTGTCGCGGTAGGCATCGCTCAGACAGTAGTGATTTGCGAATCGCCCACTCTTGTTGAGTACGGCAATCTTCTCGAGCACCTGACGCAAGTACTGGTCGGGCTGTTGCAGCTTCTGACGCAAAGCCTTCATTGACCAATACTGATACTGACGGAAACACTCGAAAATGAGATCCAGAAGCTGGTTCTCGGGGATACGGGCAGCCTTGAAGACTTCTCCCTTCTTGGGCTTGTTGATGGGTGCGGTGTTTTTCTGGATTACCGGTTAGCAATGCCAATACCCACAGAGAGAATAGCAGACTTACGATAAAGTTTCCTCCCCAGCTGGCTGACCCGGTAGCTCCAGGGTTGATGATAGACGAAGCCTTGTTTCTGCTAATAATCTTGAGCTTCGACTTGGACTGCTCTGCATCTTGCAGGCGCTGAGCGAGAAGTCGCTCCTCTTCCCTCACATCACGAGGCTCGACACGAACATCATAGTGAATCTTGCCGAAAACCTTTGTGCGTTCTGCCACCAGTCAGTTTTATGGTTCGAAGATTTGGTTCGGCGTGACTCACTAGGAACAGCCTTGCGGTAATATGGTTGGTATCTGCTCCTTCGATCATAGCTGGGGCGATCCGAGCCTCCGTTATTATTAGGCTTCCTCAGGAGCGAGTTCGGAATGCCCGCGTTGACTGCCTCGTGTCGCGCCTTGTTTTGCGCCTTGTAGCCAGGCAAATCTTCTTCGCTGAAGATGAAATGATTGTTGACGTTGGGTTCGAGGACTTCGAGATCGTATTCGCGCGGCAGCATCTGGTGCTCAGGACATTGATCGGAAAGAAGCATCCTCAGCTTGGTCTATCAATCTGTCAGCACAGCAACTTGGCCGTCGGGAGCGAAATGCATACATTTGCGCTGCCGTCAGGCTTCTGCTCGGTCCAGGTGCGCAAAGTTCCAATCCGGATCTCGTCGTCGTCGCCCAATCGCTCCGTCAGCTTAATCCAGGCATCCCACATGTAGCGAGGCACGCGCGCAAGGTAGAGCGTCTCAAAGGCGCGATTCGCCGCGTTCTTGTCAAAGAATTCGAGATCGCCGGCATCTTCGTAGAGATCATCCTCATCCATCTGAGCTGGTGATCCAGAGCTCTCGGGATCGGGCTTGATGTAGCCCTCGGACTTGATGTAAGGTTCCGTCATGTTGGCTGGTGTGTGAGGATTGGATTGTAGCGAACGGCTGCTGGCTGGAGTGAAAGGAGGAAAAGTTGAGAGAGTGTGTCGGAGGCGTAGAAGTGGTATAAAGGGGAGTCACAAGGCCAACCGAAACCTTGCGAGAGATAAAGAAAATAAAAGGCCAGACGTGAGGGCGGCTGGTGGTGTAGGCAGGAGGACAAAGAAGCTTGTAGGCAATCCAAGTCTCGCAGTGACGAAATGGGCCAGCAGCGGCTCATCCTCGCTGAGGCTGTCGCCTGGGCGCACGAGCCACCAAGCGCCAGTGGAGAAAGCTTCACGGCCTTTAAGCGGCTTAGTCCCAACAGGGTTAGACTCTTCCCCCGTGCTGCAGGTGCTCTTTCACCGGGTACGTACCGTCTTCCCGCACCCGCATCACCTTCCCTGCCTATCACAAACACGACGGCTACGTCGTGGCTCAGCCTTGAAATAAAGGTGCCTTTAAACATCATCTCTCATCCTCCAACCAATTTCATGTCTACAAGTCATCATGGTGTTGTCATTTAAAGTTGCCTAACAACCTTGAAAGGTGTCTTTGTTTGCACCTACTTCCCCTTCTGGATTGACTCAATCCCCTTCTTTCTAATCTCAGACGTTCTCAACGACCGCGTATTCAATCCTTAACCAACCCTGGTTCTCCTGTCAGCGCCATCCAAATTCACATCGCCATCTTAAAGACAGACAAGTCCGACCGATACTCGACCGAGCGCAAGAATTAGAATATCAATATCCCTTCGAAATCGATATACCAAGTCCAAGATGGCTCCCAAATCCCTCATGGAGCTTGCCACCCTGGCATGCATCAAGAACATCCGAGAGCTTGAAGGTGTCGGCTATCTCCCTTATGATACCGTCCGTCCCATCCTCCTCCGCATCGACAATGCGCATCAGCTTCGCAGGATCGAGGAAAACTCGCCCCAGGTCGAGGGGGAGACGGGCGAGGTCTGGCTGAAGATCATCGAGCGCGAGTTCCCCATGGAGGTCAAGGCCAAGGCATACAAACCCCAGAATCCCAAGAGCTGGTTTCGCGTCTGGAAAAAGTACAAGAAGGACCACGATAATGCCCTCCAAGAGAGCGAGGCGAAACTCATGAACGCCCTTGCTGGGCTCAGGCAGGACAAGGAGAAGAATACCAGCAAAATCGTCGACAGGAGACTGCTGCCAGGCCTGGCAGCCAAGATTGGACCCAGGCGGCCATGGGGCCAACGCGATTCCTCCAGCAGCACCCTCACATTCAACAAGGGCAGTCGCACAAAGACAAAGACGGGCGCGCAGACGATGCGCAAGATCCGACGCGAGACACAGGAGATTTCCAACATCCACCGCAAATTGTCTAGGCCAACCGCTGCGTCCAACGCCATCACAGCGCTCAGGAGGGCACCCGCCGCCATGGTTAACGACGAACGGAGAGCTGCTCTACCCTCCTTGGTCAAAGCTCCCAAAGCCTCAGAGCCCTCTGAAGCAATGCTGGCTCATGAGCAGCGAGCTACCTTTATATCCGACTCTGAATCGGATCAGGGCGATGATCTATTCGATGAAGATGAGGAGGATGAGCCCGAACCCGTTCCTCGCAAGCCAGCTCCCAAATCCTTTGCGAAGTCGTCCGCCGCGTCATTGCTCAAGAGACCTAGCTCATCATCAGGTGTTCTCCGGACTTCGGCGACCCCAGCCAAGCGTTCTGGTATCCTTTCAAACAGCTACAAAGGATCCAAGCCGTCAACTACAACATCCTCTGCACCAGCGCCTTCAAAGCCGCGAGCAGAGCCACCCATGCCCTCACAGCGACCCCCTCGAACACAGAGTTCCCCTCCACCGAGTGCCGACCCTGGGCCGTCGTCTTCTCCTCCCGCCCGAGCACCCCTGCCCATGCCTCGCAAGCGCAAGGCGGTGGATGTATTCATGAAGCCAAAGAAGAGGACTTAAAGTGCTTTTTTTTTTGTCAATGGTTTTCGGTGAACCACGGATCAACGGCGTTGTTTGGGATTGAATGGTCAGTTTGCCTGGTTGTATGGCCAGAGACTACAAACGGGTGTAGTATAGAGGAAATGGATATGGGTATAAGCGTTTGATTTATCATCAAGAACAGGAAGTGGATTCGGATCATGGGTTCAGCCCGGTTACTAGAATGGAAATACAGTAAAGGATATGGACACTACCAGGTATCAGATCAAAAGGCAACGTGTGGAAGGGTTAACGGAGGCATGTTGGAGCGAGCGAGTTCTTTAGAGGCATGACTGGAATTGACAGAGAACTACACGCATTGAAACGACAGCAGCTTGCAGGGCGCATTCTCCCAGCGCTTCTCCCCGTGCCCGTGGTGGTGATTCTTGGGTATAAGCAACACACAACTCATGACAGCATGCTGCGCAGTGCCGCGGTTCACCTTGAACGTCACATCACAAGTCATTTCTGATGCTGGCCGGCCTCTTGCGACCATACACACACATACGCAATACATCCACCTGTTCTATGTTGCGCATCGTCCCTCCTTGTCCAACGCCGGTGAAATGCAGCCTCATGTTTGTTGTTCCCATGACCAGCGCAAATAGCCGTGTCAGGAGGGTTCTCGGATTGTCTCTAAGTCGCTGTGGATGATTTGTCTATGCCAGCCATCGTCCTCCCCTAAGGGCGAGGACGAGGTGAAGAGTGTCGCCAGCGACGAGGTTGTATTCAGCGGCCGTCTTGTCGTCCGTCCTGGAGGTCATGTTTGTCAGCATTTCCGTCCTCCATATTCTGTAAGAAAAGCTTACATTTGCTTTCCACCGTGGATCAGACGCTGCTGAACGGGGGGGATACCCTCCTTCTCCTCCACCTTTTCCTTGATCTGGGAGACCTGCAACGGAGCGGTCAGTCCATGCGCTCTTTTTCCCATGAAGCTCAGTGCGCGCGCGGTAGTACCTTGTAGTCCATCTCGATATCAAGCTCGATCTCCTTGCCGGTGAGTGTGCGGACCCTATTTGCAGAGCGGTTAGCTCTCTCGATCGTCATGACGTGGGGGGGTAATGGAAGCTATCAGGAAAGCGGTATCGCGACGTACTTGATCAACATGTTTGCGGTTGTTGGAGTAGAAGAATTTCAAGTCTTGAGGAAAAGATTTGTTTTCGAGATGCGACGAGTCGTCGTGTAAAGTTTGGAAAAAAGTATGCGAGGCTGATGTTAAGAGGAAGCAGAAGGGCAGTTGGGCCGAGTGAGGTGCTGCTGCTGCTGCTGCTGCTGATTGATGGTGGGGTTTTACTAAGTTTGGGCTGGTTGCCTTCCCTTCCCTTCCCGCTAGGTTGGAAGGTTAGCGACTAGGAGGGGCAACCCTGGTAGAGTGGGATGGATGCCTGTTTAGGTGGGCTTTGTTTGCTGCTGGGATCTTTGACGTGCCAGCGATACAGGCTTCAAGCAGTTGGTAATCGTTGTCGTACGATGGATGGTAATGGTGTGTTTATGCAGATGATTAATACATTCGATCTATTCGAACGTCTTGCCATGGTTCACTCACTTAAACTACAGGTATTCGTAGGTTGATACTCAGTCATAACCATCATGAAATCAACAGAAATGTCATGGACGAGAAACAACTAGAGCAGAATAGGTAGTCTCCTTTACTACCTCGTTATTCATAATAATACAGCCCTCGTTGATAGACATACAGTGGAGATTTGCATTAACCCCGGGCACACCTCTCCATGATACACCACCACCACCCGTTCTCTTTCTTTACTGCACTTTAGTTCTTTTCTTTATCGTCAAACACGTTGAGGCCGAGACCCTCCGAGTCGAGCAGCAGCCTGTTCTTGGAGCCAGCCTCCTGGAATTGGGCGGCGATCTGCCGGGCGTTCTCAATCTTCTTGAGCTCCACGTAGGCCTTGCTTTTCTTGATGGCCTCGCCAATCAGCTCGGCGGAGCGTGCCTCACCCTGTGCCTTGACAACCATGGCCTGCTTCTCCTGTCGCGCCTTGTCGACGATGAAGGCTGCTCGCTGGGCCTCTTGCTGGGCAACCTGCTTGGCCTCGACGGCGGCAGTGAATTCGGGGGAGAAGGCGAGATGCTAGTATAGCATTAGCAATGCGCACAAAATCCAATTGCATTGTACATACAGTCAGAGACACATCGTCGAGGAGAATGTTGAACCGGGCAGCTCGTCGGGAAAGGTTCTCTCGCACCAGCCTGGCAACCATCTCTCGCTGAGTAATGAGCTGACTGGCATTGAACTGAGCAACGACGCTCTTGAGAACCTCGTTAACAATCGAAGGCAGCACACGCTCGTCGTAGTCGGCGCCTAGTGTCCGGTAGATCTGGGGCAGGGCGTCGATCTGAGGCCGCGAGAGCACACGGCAGGTGATGTTGACCATCTGCAGGTCCTTGGTGCCCGTCAACGAGGCGACGTTGCGCGGCTTCGCTCGGACATCGTACACAATCGGGGTCTCAAACCAGGGGATGTTGATGTGAGTTCCTGTCCGGTTTTGTCAGCCTCGAGGTCTTGATCACGACTACCGAATCGCCCGAGGATCGTCTCTTACCTTCAGCGTAAATCTCCTTGCTAACACCGCTTACCCTCCGGTACTTGATAGCCCGTTGACCACCATCAACGTTGAACAGCGAGTTGGAGATAACCACGGCACCACCAGCGATGAGCAGACTGGCAAAGACGGCACCGCCGGCTGCTCGAGGCATCTTGGGGCCGCCACCACCACCATAGCCGCCGCGGGCCTGCTGCATCTGCCGAAGACGCCGCATAGCTTCCTCCTGCCAGTTGTTGTTTCCCGACATAATAGAATTGCTTCGGTCGCGAGGGGAATAGAGAGTCGATCCGAGGCTGGGGGTGTCGTTTTTCAATGTGCCGTGGGTAGTCGATGATGGTGATGGAGCTGCTCGAGGGAAGCTGTTGGATGGTGGGTCCGGTTTTTCGCCGGCGTTTCCCGTCTTGAAGGTTGTGAATGGTCAGCAAAATTGAGAGTGCATTTAAATTCGAGTTACCTACCCTACAGTTGAAAGTGCAAAAGGCGGGTTCCTGCAACACGCAGTCAGTCATATACTAAGAGATATTTTCAAGTCAAGATTAATATAGATGTTGGATATTGTACAACATAAATTCAATTGGTTTCATCAAAATTAGCCTGAATAGTCGGATCCTCCAGCCAATTTGGTGTTCTGGCCAGGGATTTAATCTAGATGACTTCAAAATGCCTCCTCAGCCGCCTTGCTACCCCACCACTACCGAGCACAGCTTTTAACACAACTTCAAGTGCAGATATTCATAAACGGAGAAGCGAAAATTAATCACAAGCGCTTAAACTTGAACAACTGCCAGACAAGGCATCGTATTTAGCCATCTGTATCTCGAGATCAGAACCACCACGCCCTGCACTATTAACAATGGTATCTGTAAGTACACAACATGGATGTATCCAAACCCCATTCGCCAAAAGAGGCATGCCCCAAGAACAAGGATATCGCAGCCTATCCCCCCAATTAATCCTGAAGGTATCGTCCACGCATCATCTCATCCCTCATCATGCCTCATCCATTGTATCCCATATCATGCATGTATCCCGTATCCCATATCCCATCCCATGTCCCGTACCCGAAAGCAAACAGTCGTCTATATATAATCTTGTCAAGCGAGGGCATATAACAAAGGAGATCCTCCACGAGTCGTCAAAGACAATTCCTTAATTACCCGCGTAGACCAATCTTGATCTTCTCACCAGCTCTGGGCTTTCGAGCGTAGCCGGTAAGCATGCGGAAGCCTGACTTGCAGTTTCGACCTTCCTCGAATACTGCGGCGACGCCATCCAGACACTTGCCAGCTTCTTCCATGGCAGCACCCGTCGTCACCGTGTCAGCAAGTCGAAGCTCGCCAGAGACCTTTTCCATCTCACAGCGTAGCAGCCACCGCTCCCAGCTCCAACCACCAACAAGACTGCACGCGCTGGCGATGTCGTCGCTGCTACCCATCACCATGGCCTCAAGCGTGCACGTCTTGGCCACCTCGCCATTGATGTTGTCCTTCAAGGGAGGGGTGGGCGGCTTGTACATGCTTCGCCGGGCTCCCATCGGCAAGCACATCCAGATGCGGCGGGTATCCCGGAAGCCGGCGCGAGCCAAGCGGCCAAGCCACAGCTTGGTTGGGTTGGGATCATACCCAAGAGTTTTGAGAGCGAAGCCAAACTCGACGCTCTTGGCCAGACCAACAGGGCCGGCGTTGATAATGTCCGAGTCGAGAAGGGAGAAGTCGAGATAGCCGCCAGGCTTGAGTACACGCATGCACTCCCTGAGACAACCTTCCCACTCGTCTTCACCGTTCTCGCCGACAAACTTGAGGATGCTGTGAAGCTCCCTGGCAGAGATGAGATCGAAGTGATTGTCTGAGAAAGGGAGCCGAGACAATCGTTCGACAGCCACCTGGCGATGGTTGGGGGGTCCGCGCACGTTGCAGTTGGACAACTGGCGGATCGCCTTGGTGGTGACTGTGTAGATCTTGGTAGTCGGGAACTGGAGGGCGCAGTGCCATGCCCAGTCACATGTAGCCTGTCCACCAAGATCCAAGACCCTGGCGCGATCGCGGGTCACACCATTCTCGTTGGGGGCCACCCGAGAGAGGCGAGCGAGTCGCTTCGTCACAGGGGCAGAGATGAGACGACCGCCGTTGAGCATCTTCATGGCAGCGACGTGCCAAGCAGCAACGGTCATCTGGTTCATGGCCTCAGCCTCCTTCTCCCGGCGAAGCTTCTCAGGGTCGTCGATGATGGTGTCATCACCACGAGCGACGTTGGCGCTGAGTCGCTTCTTAGCAGACTGAGGAACCACACTGAGCTGGTACTTTCCGAGCAGCTGGTTGCGGTGAGCATCACGAAGGGAAACACGCTGGGCCTGGATGGCCTCGAAGCGGGCGAGCTGGTGAACAAAGACATCCTGGCGATGGATGCGGACAACATAGTCCTGGAAGGCTCGGTAGTAGGCAGACTCTCGTCGAACAAGCATCGAAGGCAGGCGCTTGGGGTGCTCCGACGTTGAGATGAGGTTGGAGAAGCGGACTGTCTTCCTGTTGGAAGCAACAGGAGGTTCAGGCTGGGCCTGAGGCTTAATCTGGAGTTGAATCTTGGGGCTTCTCGGGGAATCCTCCTCATTTTCCTCAGCAATAGTGTTCAAGCCACCCTCGTCTTCACGGGTATCGTCTTGCACACCGCGGAGGTAGGCTCGCTGGGCACCAAGCCAGAGCTCAGTACGGTCAAGGTGTGCAAGGGCCTCCTTCTGTTGCTTGCGAGCATAGTCGGGATCGTAATCAATGACAATCTCGATAGGGGCGTCTTCGACCATAGGCGAAGGTGGCATATTGGGTGTCTCAACAGTAGAGGCGGTCGTGCTGTGCGCAAAGGCAGGGCGAGCAGTGGGCATATCATCCGAGAAGTCATCCTCCTCCTTCAACTCAATGACTTGCTCAACAATGGCCTCCGAAGGAGCGGCAGGCGTGAACCTGACATTGCGGTAGAACTCCTCAGCAGAGTCTTTACGAACAGGAATGGAAGGCACCGATGTATTCGCGTTTGTCGTGTTCCAGGGACATCGGTAGAACTGCTCAGCGGTTGTCGAGGTTGGAGGAGCCATCTCCTCTGGGGACCTGGAAGGGATATGCCAGGTATTCCGGGACCGGGGAGACAAGCCAGAGAAGAAGTTGCTTGGCGAGGGAATGTCGAGCCTTGTCAGCTCAGCGAGCGACTGCCGGTTACGCCTGGGAGAGAAGTTTCTGCCATCTACCTGCGGCGGGTGGAGGTTTGTCATCAGTTGTGGTCGATGTTGTCGCATCTCGCTGGTAGCCGGTTCATGTTGGGGAACTTCAAGGACTTGAGCGGGTTGCTCGTGAGGATTCTCTCCACTGGAGAGGGCATGGAGAGTAGCCAGAGCACCAGGCTGCAGCTGCACTCCAGACCAAGCATCCTCAGCGGCTGTATCCTCACCTTCCATAACAGGGGTCGGGGGAGCACTCATGGCCGCGAGCTGCTCAGATGTCAAGCTACCGTCGAGAGATGGAGGTGCTGACATAGTTGGCGTTATTGTCATATGCTGCTGGTCCATGAATGTCACCTGGGCTGGTGACATTGGGAGCTTGGCGGAAGGAGTCAGAGGCACTGGGGAGGCCAGTGTCTTCTTGATGCTCTCTACGGCGGACCACGGCTCAACAGAGTTGCCAGGTGTCTGGGGGATGATGAGCCGTGTCGGTTGCTTGGTTGAGGGTTGCTGAGCCGGGGCCTGCCTCGACTTCAGAGAGTCCCTCCGTGGAGGAAAACTCTCTTCATCCTCATCCGTCACATCGTAGAGATCCTCAAACTCGGTGGCCTCGGTCATGACGCTCTGGCGGTTCCAGGGGTTGGTGGACGCCGTCGGGGAGGTATCGGTAACCGAGTTGGTGGAGGGCGAAGATGGGAGAACGGGGGCAGACAGATAATGCATTCCTCTTGGCGTGGGAAAGTGATCGCTTATCGGTGTGAGCCATGCCTCGATCTTGAGTTCATCTGTGCGTCTCGCTCTGCCCCTGTTCTGACCCGTGCCATCGTCGCTGTCCTCCTCAATTATGGGATTAAGTCTTCCCCTGTGTCTTCGAGCCAGCGAAGAGTCCAGGGGGTAATATCGGTTTTGGGCATCAGCCATTGCCGCGTTTCCAAGCCAGCTATCCTCGATATCTGTCTCAAGGCCAAGGGCCAAACGCAAGGCTGATGTGTGTATTAGTCGTGATAGTAACGGTGGAATCGACGGCCGGCGCCGTGGTTAGGGTATTGTGTAAACGACAGGATGCTTCGGTCAACGAAGCTTCTATAAAGTGATCTGCAAACTGACAAAAACGAGAAAGGGCTGAGGCGGAAGAAGGGAATGTGGAGGAATGGGGGCCAGGCCGCTGGCCGGGGGACTTCCATAGTCTTAAGTGGCAAAGGACTGGCCCAGAATTGCCCGAGCCTAACGTAAACTTCTGGGGGCGGCTATTCGGAGGCTGGCTTAGGGCGAAATGAATGGGCGGCAAGAAGCCTGCAGTGGCAGATCCAAGCCGACGAGTCCAGGTCTTCGAAGCGGCCTCAAGTGGGCCGATGCGTCGACAAACCCGGTTGCATGCGGCGGACACGGCGAGGCGGAGGCGGGGACAGGCATCTTCAGCGTCTGTTGGAGGAGCTGACTGGCAAAGAGCGGCGAGGCCATGGTGAGCGTGGTGCTGGCGGTAGACAAGACATAGAAGAGGTTGCGTCAAGGTGGGATCGACTCCCGGTCGCTGGGCTGGATAATCCCCGCTATCGAGCGACTAGCGACTGAGAAGGGCCAATTAGATTCAATATCTTCGACTGCTATTTTGAGATGACAGCGGTTGACAGGGGTCCGGCTTGGTTGCGCGCGCGAAACTGTGATGACTGTGACGGGCGTGAGAGATGATTGGCCTCTTGAATCCATCTATGCAGCCAATGAGAAGTGTAGCGCGTTTCCTCGGCGGCTAATCTCCTTGGCCTGCATCACGTCGACTTCCGAGAACGCCGTACCGGTTTGTGATAGCCCAGCTTGAACGCATGACGGGTGTTCACGACGGGACGATGCGGTCGCTCGATTGATACAAGTCATGCAACAGAGCCGGCCCGAACGGGTGGTCGCCGAACGATATGGCTGCCCTTCAGCATGGGTGGTCTAGACTCTATGCTGTCAAGTGGCTGTGAATTCTCCATGGTGAAATCTAAGAGGCCAACCTAGGCGGCCGTGTTTGATCGATCAAAACATTCATGGATGACCGGAGAGATCAAGCCGCCCGCTGGACAAGAGTTTGATCCGAATGTTTGTCTTGTCAGGCAAGGGTGTCGTAGGCGAAGTGGCGGAGGCAGGCTTCAGCGCAAGATCCAGACCCTGGACCGTAAGATGCCTATTGCAGACGAGCAGGGTTGAAAAGACCAGGGCTGAAGAAACAAATCAGGAAAGCAGGGAAAAAGTGACGAGACCCTCCCGTGTGACTTGGCCTTGGGGATCCAATGGATCCCGGTTCAATGGGGTTCAACGGGTGGTAGATTCTACCCGCTGTGCGTGACAAGAGTGTGATGTTTGTATGCATCGTGGGGGGAGGGGGGGCTCAAGAAGCAATAGTTCCGCGAGGTTGCATGCGCGCATATTGTTCCAATGCGCCCCAGTCTCTAGCGTCATCGATAGCCGTCTCTCTTGGTTGTGACACGCCATGTGAGAGACTTGGCCAGAGCTCTTAAACAGGAAGGGTCGTGCAGAACAAGATCTTGATGCCTCAGACATTCACCAAGATTGAGAAAAATTGTTAAGGACCGTGCTGCCTCAGGCTTGTAAAAGCTGGGCTCCGTCACGGCCCCGCCGTCCCCGGCCCGGCTTCGCACGCTCAGCCCAGCTCAATGCGAGCCCCTCCATGAAATTTACCCCGCCATGGGCCGAAGGTCGTCGTCGATCCAGCACGAGCAACGCGTCTCGCCATACAAACACAGCAAAGCTTTTTTTGCTACCCATACTTTTTGACCCCAACCCACATCTACAATACCCATGGCCGATGTAGAACAGCCCGAGGGCGAGCCTCAAGGCCGTCATGTCACTTACTGCGGTGGTACGCGTCTGCTTTCCCATCTTTGATGCAATCTCGATTCTAAGGAGCTCAATATCTGACCATGTGCCTACAGTTTGCACCCTCCCCCCTGAGGTACACCTCCACCCCTGACGAGCTTCCACGCTTCGAGAGAGACCCCCCCGAGCTGAATGATCCGTCCGAGTAGTATTGCGAGTATGGCGGCACTGTCAAAAAGTGCCAGGAGTGGCTGCAGGAGAACGAGCCCGCCTTGTACGAGCACATTTGGTCCGCAGGTTCGCCTCACCACCCCCAAACACCAACGCCAATGATCACGCGATAACCCCAATGCTAGAGGCCCTCGAGGCTGCCACCGCGTCGCTGTCCGTAGAGGCCCAGAAGCGAGCCGCGAAGGACGCCCAGAAGAAGACTGCCAAGGCTGAGGCCGCCGAGGCTAAGCAGGCCGATAAACTGGCCAAGAGCGTTGTCACCATCAAGCGTATCGAGCGGAACAAGAAGAAATATGTCACAGCCGTGATAGGCCTGGAGGCATTCGGTTTGGAACTTAAGAAGGTGAGTCCGCGAACTCTTTCACATGCCAAGTCTCTGTACTGAACCGGTCCTAGGTTGCAAAGGACCTTGGCAAGAAATTTGCTACTGGCTCTTCGGTAACCAAACTCCCTGGTGGAGGAGAGGAAATTGTGGTGCAAGGTGATGTTAGCATGGAGTTGGAGGAGTTCTTGATTGAAAAGTACAAGGAGATACCAGAGGATCACATCGAGCTTGTCGAGGACAAGAAGAAGAAGAAGGGAGCCGCCTAGATTAGCGCGTGTAAAGCCATTCGTCATTGAAAAGGCCTCAACTGGCTATTGTAATGCTCGCATATCTTATCTCTCTTGGGCGTTTGCAGTTTTCATGTATGCTAACCCGAAACCTTTCCTGTACACCGTATTCCGCCACCCCTTAACGCCTATCCCGAGAAAAACAAATACTCTCAACCCAGTTCATGCTTCATCAAAATTCACACACCTCATGCGCGTTTCCGCAGCACTCTTCCTGTCCCAGTGGTTGCAGTGGATTTCGCAGCAGTCTTTTTGGTAGTTGTTGTTGTGGTCTTACGAACGGAGCTCGCAGCAGTCTTCTTGGCTGCAGCACCCCGAGATGCAGCACCCTTCCTCACCACGGTTCCTGAGCTGGCCTCGCTCGTCTCACTGTTAGCGAGGGATCTGCGAGCAGTTCGCGTAGTCGGCCTGGAAGCAGGCGCCCTAGAAGCTGTCGTTGCTGCCGCGCGCCTGGTTCGAGTGGCGGCCGTGGTGCTGGTTGAACTTGTGCTGGCGGTCGAGGCGGTCGTCACCTTGCGTGCAACTCCTGCTCTCGTGGCCTTTGCCTTTTCCACCATGCTGGAAAGCATACTCGTGGCTGTTGCTGAGCGTGAAGTTCCTGAATTCTTCAGTGGTGAGGCTGGACGTGCAATGCCAGACTTGACGGGGGAGGCTGGCCGAGATCGGTTGGCCAGTCTTGAGTTGGAAGAAGTTGGCGAAAGAATTTGCGCAGGTCGAACGTGAGCAACGTCTGGGTTTTGTGTAGCTCGAACCCTCTTTTTCATATTCTCGTTGTGCTCGATCTCGTTTTCCTTGTCTCCTGAGATGGCATCGCTGGGAAAGATGTATTAGCTGTTGTTCTTTACTCAATTACTTGGATAAACACCCACCTCATACGCTTCTTTGTACGCGTCATTCCCCTTGCGGCGTGTGCAGCGGAATGAAGTTGCTTCTGGGGGCTTGTCCGAGCCACAACCGCTTTCCTTAGAGCCGCAGATCTTGTGGCTCGTTGTTGTTCCTGTTCGAGGAACTTCTGAAGCAGGTCACCCATCTTGACGTTCCTCATGGACATGGGTATTCTGTTGATTCGCATCTCGACACGTGAACGGACGGTGGTTGCCATGAAACTGTACTGAGCTCTCAATCGTCGAGCGCGTTCGGTGACTGGGATGCAGGTCAGTCGCGCGTCTTTGGATGCGATATTGAAATCGCGTACTCTCAAGTTGCATATTATCAATCATGGCTTGCTTCTGCTGCATGGTGATTGTACCCGGGGTTCGTCTCTTGATAGGACTTCGTGGATATGCTGAAGGGCTCCCTGCCCGCGGAGGAACCGTTTCGGCCATGGCCAGCTTTCTCGGTGATGTAAGTGCTTGTTCTGAAGCTTGCTTTTTCGATCGCACGGGTGCCATTTTGTCTTGTCGTTGGGGCGCAATGCGCGTTTGTTGAATGCGTCGGCGTGACAAGAATGATGATGAAGAAGTCGCTAGGTTTGTCTACCCCGGGCGCGTATGTCAAGTTGGTTGAGATCTTGGTGGAGCCTTTCGGGAAGTAAACAAAGCTGAGCGGGTTCTCCGAATTAGGTAAGCATCCAAGCTTCCCTGACGCAAGCATTGAATGCGCGGAGGCTTTCAGGTACTGCTACCCGCCCGCTAGCGCTTATCACTACTGAAGACAGGTAGCTGTACCTCACCCAGACCTAGCTCGAGACACGGCCAGGCTGAACTGCCTTACGACACTGGGGAGCTTCGCTTGCCTCTAGCCTTCTCACCTCCATCCAAGCTCAACACCAACACAGGCGCACCCTCTATCTGTTGTCTTTTCGATCTCCCTTCAATCTCCCTCCTATACTCGCACCACCTGGACATTTCCCACAGCGTCCCGACAGACAGCCAAGATGGTTCTCGAGGCGGTCATGGTTGTCGTTGACAACAGCGAGAGCAGCAGAAATGGCGACTACCAACCCACCCGATTCGATTCGCAAGTAGACGCCGTCAACATCACGTTCCAGACCATCACACAAGGCAACCCCGAGTCCTCTGTGGGCTTGATGAGCATGGGCGGCAAGGGACCAGAGGTGCTGGTCACTCTCACGACCGAGCAGGGCAAGATCCTCGAAGGCTTGCACCGGACAAAGAAGAAGATTGGAGGCTCCTCCCACCTCAAGACAGGCATTCAGGTGGCTGCTGTACGTTGATGTTTGGATGTCGTCTGTCGACTAGCGTTAACCCTGTTGTAGCTTGCTCTGAAGCACCGCCAGAACCGATCGCAGAAGCAGCGAATAATAGTCTTTGTTTGCTCCCCCATCGAGGAATCTGAGAAGGAACTCACCCAGCTGGCGAAGAAGATGAAGAAGGCCAATGTCACTATCGACTTTGTCCTGTTTGGCGATCTCGACGACGATACCACCCAGAAGAAGCTCCAGCTCTTTATCGATACCGTCAAGACCAGCGAAGGCTCCCACCTGGTCGTCATCCCTCCCAGCCCCAAGCTTCTCAGCGACCAGCTGATCTCTACCCCCATCCTCCTGGGTGAGAATGCTGGCGGATCCAGCGGCGCTGGAGGTGCGGGTGGCAGCAACGAGGAGTTTGAGTTTGGATTCGACCCCGCGATGGAGCCGGAGCTCGCCCTCGCCCTGCGCATGAGTATGGAGGAAGAGAAGGCCCGGCAGGAGAAGGCGGCGCGCGAAGAGGAGGAGGCTGCCAAGAAGGCGTCGCTGGAGGGCGTCAAGGAGGAGGACGAATCCGGCGAGGGCAGTGGATCCAATGACAAGAAGGGCCAAGACAAGGGCGATAAGAAAGGCGACGGAGACAAGATGGATACTTCATAGTAGATTGCGATCCAGCTATGTCGACGCCGCGGTACATGTACAATAGACACGGGCTAGGGGTTTAGACGACGACAAGAACATTAAAGCCATAACCACACATTATCCTCTGCTACTCGGTGAATCTGTCTTGCTATTCCCATGTCTATCGATTATTGATCTCCCTGATATAGGACAACAGTTTCCGGTCAAAGATGTCGCAGCGTATAGGCATCTCGAGTGAATAAAAGGGGTTCTTCATGACGTAGTCTGAGTAGAGGTCATAGATCCTGCGGATGGTGACATCGACGTTGGCCTGGGTGGTGTCGGTGAAGAGCAGGAACTTGGTGCCAGTGATGGTGTTAAAGCACTGCATGCGAAAGTTTTCCGTCTCTAGCACCTCCAGGCCTGATGACGGCTCTGGCCTGTTGCCTGGGGGTATCGAGCCTGGCAGGTTCTTGACGGGGTTGAGGCGAGCCGTGATGGCGTGGACTCTGAGGCGTTGTGAGCTGGTGATATACAATGTGAGAGGGGGACTTACCCGTGGAATGTGCCGGCTAGAACTAGATAGTCGTTTGTGCTGATCTGTTGGAGGCCATCTTGGAAGTTCTTGTTGAAGACTAAGCCGCCGGCCTTGTTGATGATGATGAGAGCAAAGACGGTCCTGTTAAGCCTGGATTAATGCTGTGATGACCAAGTGATGAGACATATACTTACATCGTGTTTGATTTGTGCAACGACGTATTAATTGTATAATGTAAAGTACCGCTAGCCCTTGAGGCTCACCAGTCCGTCGATATCATGGGAGACCAGCTATGAGCCAGGGTGAGAGGGAAGGGTGAGACGGAGCTGTGAGATGTTAGCTATTAGCTGTGAATGGGAGTTTGTAGAGGTACACACCCAGTCGCGTAGTTATCGCCGAGGATTTAATCACATAAACAAGATCTCTAGATGGCCTCAGGCTTCGCTGGTTATCGTCTCCTTTCCTCGGGGGTTGATATGATGGACGAGCTGGCTGGGACTGGGACCGCCACGCGACTCCATCCACTGGGACTGAGAGAGAGCCCCACCCATTAAGCTGGGGTACGTACACCAGGAACCAAGGACGCCATCCATCCATCCAATCCATCCTTTCCTTGACCTCAGAAAGCCAACCATCCTCTTTTTCATTCTCGCAACCGCGACACAGCAAACAATCAAACACGTCTTTCTCCGAAAACCACAAGTCGCGCATATCATCGCGCACCGTAAACGATACTCGTCGGCTTCGCGCGATCCGATACAAGCTTCCAATTTAACCACACGTCCAAAAGCTTACCACCATGGAGAACGGCCAGGTTCCCAAGCCAAAGAAGATCAACCATCCTCGAACATCGCGCCCCAAGCCCCCGCCCCCGGGTAACGAGGAGGCATCCACGGTCCTCAACCTCGGCGAGTTCCAAGAGGTCGATACCCTGACCCTCTCGGAAGCTGCCCTGGTCCTGAACGCGCTGGTCGCCAAGCGACGGAACGACCGCAAGAACGTCAACGAGACCGAGTAATGGCGCCTAGTTTTCTTTGCTCACTACCATTGGGGCAGGCTGACATGTGGTTCTATCGGCTAGAATGCTTAACCAGACCCTCACCTACCTCGATCATTTCGCCCGCTTCACGCAAAAGGAGAATGTCGAGGCTGTAGAGCGCCTCCTCAGCGCACACAAGAACCTGGCCAAGTTTGAGCGCGCGCAGCTCGGTACGGAAATTCAACAACAAATATTCGCGGCGCAAAGCATCTGACATTGAATTTAGGCTCACTGTGCTGCGAAAACGCCGACGAAGCAAAGACTCTGATTCCGTCACTGGCCGACAAGATCAAGGACGAGGACCTCCAGGATCTCCTCGACGAGATTTCCAAGCTTCAGAACAGGTGAAGCGTTTAGACAACAGAAGAAGAGGGACGAGATTGATTTACTACGAGAACCGGCGATTAGGACTTTGCTTTTCTGTGGTTTTTTTTTTTCTGGGTGGTTGCTATAAAAAAAAAGAAGATAAAATTCGGGAACGAAACGTGGTCAAGGACGAGAAGCTTCTCTTTTTCTTTTTTTATTATGCATTTCAGGCGCATAGCGGGAAAGGGACAAACCGCATAACTTGACAACTACCTACTCTATTACAACTGACGATTCGCCTCACGGGCATGGTATGGGGATGTGGGAGACTTTGACCATGATCCGTGCTTGGACAGAGCTGTAGGCAATCTCTTTCTTGTATTATCGATATTACGACGCAAAGACTAAATCGATTGCTTTATTGTATCTTGGGGAGGATGCCCTAGTGGTGTTTAGGTGTTGATGGAGCTGCTTTTAACGTTTATATGGGCTACCAGACCTATGGGTAGAGTTCAGAACTTTATGGTTGGCCAGGTAGCCTATGAACAACCATGGAGTACCTCGAGTTGCCTCGGGTAAGTCTTATAATGGTATCACTTTCAAGAGTTAAGCTGACACTTGACTTGAGAGTTGATTAGACAAAGAAGCTCGACATGACTATCTTGTGCTTCACACTACTTAAGCAGCCTTGGCAGCCACACCAACAAACTTGTCAATCTCAGCGATAAACTCCTTCGCGTTACCATTGTCACCCCGATCCTGCTGAGCCACATGCCTCGAGAATGCATCCTCTGCCTTGATGACAAACTCTGGAATCGTGATGCCCCCCTTCTTCCACACGTACGTCTTGCCGTCGGCGGCTCGCTCGAACCCTCGTAGGGCCTTGGGCTTGTAGCTCGAGATCTTGTTCATGCGGTACCGCACAGATGGGTGGATCATCTCGTACGTCTCGCCGAGGTCCCGGCCCTTGTCGTCCTTGCGGTACTGGCCTGGTGTTCTGTCGATGGAGCCGCCTGCAACCATGGCGCCTGTGAAGCTGTCGACGATGGGACCAGTCGCCCAGCCTGTGATGGCCTCCTTGGGGATAGACCGGACGTCTGCCTTTCTGATGCCCGACCTGTCGAGTCCCGCGGTCAGGCGGCTTGTGATGATGCCCTTACCGAAATCCTTCTCCTCGCCCTTCTCAATGTTGTCGAGGAGAGGCTTCAGGAGGTTGTATCGATCTTCAACGGCTGACTGGCCCAGGCCAGCGAGACTGCCATCTTCAATGAACTGAAGATAGGGGGCGACTTGCTCACACATCCAAGCAAAGGAGATGAGTGCAATTTCTGTCATGGTCAGTACAAGGTCTCGCTGTCAAATATGGCACAACTCACGTTCAAAGTCTCCCTTCTTATCCGTCAGGAGATCATCATTGCCTCCTCCAATGTTGATGTGCACACCAGGGAACCAGACCTGCAGCAGCTCCGACTTGTTATCCCGGAGCTGCTTATACATCTCGCCGTCGACGACGGCTGACCAAGTGTCTTGCAGCTGCTTCGGGCTAGCATTTGGGTTCTTGTGAGCCTCCTGCCACTCAGCCCAGAGCTGCTTGAGATCCTTGGCTGGCTCTACTGGGTGCTGGTCCTCTGATGGATAGTGCCAGAGTGAAGGGGAGAATGGGCCTCTGTGCTCGTCAAGAGCCAGTGCGTGGAAAGCATGCTGGACGTCTGCATCACAGTTAGTCAAAGATTTGGCACCAATTGGTTCGTCAACACTTACAGGGGCTGAGGGAGATGTTGTGGAAGCCAGGGTCCTGGATGCCCATCGTCTTCTCGAGAAACTTGAGGTTGAACCTGGTCCAGGGGAGGTCTGGGATACCCAGGCTGCCAACTGTGTCAAAGACACCAACAACCTTGACAACACGAGATGCCTCAGGGGCGTCGTGGTGAGGAGGCCGCTGCCACTTGGTAAGTGCCTGGGCGCTCCCGTTGGCTTGCTGCTTCTCGGGGATGCCATTGACCCAGTCCCTATAAGCCTGGCTCTTTCGAAAGTGGTGGCCGTCAGGGTTCTTCTGGTAGAGGGCATACAGGTCCGGGAAATCTTGGAGATCCTTGGGACAGACGATGCCAATGTCAGTGACGAGGCCCGCCACAGCGCGAGCCGTGTAAGCGCCACGCGAGAAGCCAAAGCAAAAGACCTCGTCACCAACGTTGTAGTTAAGAACGAGGAAGTTGTAAGCCTCAATGACATTGCCAACAAAGCCAACACCGAAGCCACCCTGTCGGTTCTGCTCATCCTGGGCAAGGTCTCCAGTGCCAATGCCAGCATCGTAGTAGACTACCTGCTGCCAGACCTTTCCGTCCTCGTCCTTGCCGCTGCGGGCGACGGAACGGGCGATCCTGGTGACATTGGAGGGGATGTTCTTGAGCCCGGACACGGACGACTGCCAGGTACCGTCACAGCAGATGACGAGACGCTTCGGTGCGGCAGAGGCGTCCTGGTTGGAGTCGTGATGAGACTCGTCTCCCAATGGCAAGAAGCCTTGCGAGGTAGAGACTGGCTCAGAGGGCATTGTGAGAGATGTGTATATGTAAGTGAATTGCTCGTGGATGAGGAAGAAACAGACGCAGTCAAGCTGACAGCAGACACCCTGGGGCTTTTATAGACCCTTATCGTGGACCTGTTCTGGTTTATGTCAGACTCTCGTCGTCAAGGGGCGTCTGCAAGAAACACGGCATACCAGCACCATCAACACAAATACAGAAACATCTCTCACCCAAGACTTTACCACCAACCGTCTGCCTTATTTCGAATGCCCTCTTCTTTCCCCTCTCCCCGCATTGAGGGCTTTTCCCGCTGTCGACTCAGCTCAAGCCCCCCGCGCTGTTGTGTCTCAGTCGGCAGTCCCAGAACGGCTCGATAGTCGTTCGCCCCCTCATCTTGGCAGAGGACTGTGTGTTGGATTGTGATGCCCTGATAGGCCCGAGTCGAGAATGAGGCAAGCTGTGGTGAAACTATCTCGGGGCGGTAACGATGTCGTGTAAACCATCAGATGCAAGAAGTGCACCATAGGAAACACTGAGTGAGCCTTTCCACAGACCGAGGGAACGCCCAACTGGTCAATGGGTAGATGGGATCGATTCAGCCCTCGGCATCGGCGAGTTCACGCAGGCTGACATCCATCCCTGTAAAAGCCCGAATTATCACGGCCTGTAAGACTGTCAGCTTGCGAGCTTGCGAGAGTGATAGTGATACAGCAGATACGGATGCTCACCCGACTCCGCTATAGAGCGGGCCGCAGCGGGAGAGCCGAAGACCCGAGTGCCTATGCATCTCCTCTTGATCCAATCCGAGATGTTGCTTGTCATCAACATGACGAGAGAGGCGCCTTGCAGGGCAGATCTACGCCACATGGGATTTTGTTTCAACCTATTCGCGTTCCATAATACCAAGCCGTATCGTACAGAAAAATGGGGTATTATCGACGACGTGCAACGCCAGCAAATGCTTGTCAAAAGCCACCTTTCAACGCCAAAGCCCCTCAGCTCCCGTTCCCTTTCCATAACCAGTTCCCTGCATTTCCTAACGCTCATCCTGACCCAGAGCCCGATACTGGTTCCAATGGTTGACATATGTGTGCTGCTGCCGTTCTCTCAGCGAGGCATTGAGATTGGCTCGCGGATCGACAGGACCTGCAGGCTGAACGGGATGCCCGTATGAAGAAGGCGTGGCGCTCATGGAGCCTGTTGAGTGAAACTGAGACTGAGACCGTGACTGGGGGCGAGCCTGTGGTTGAGCCCGTGGGTGAAATTGTGGACGAGGATCTTCTCTGGCGTCACTGAACTTGACTGCAGGAAGCTCAACTGGGACGTTGCTGGTCCCATCCATCTCGTATGTGTTGCTCGGTGGCCGGAAAGGATCATCCGTTCGGTCAGCCCGTCCTGCGAAAAGAGTCAACATGGCGTTCAAGACCTTTGTTAATATCGAGACATACCTCCAAAAGGTGCAAAGGGATCGTGATCCTCTCGAGTCCCCGTGGTATGGGGAGAGACGCCATAGCCCAGCCACTGATTCTTTTCGCCATTACTGTCACCACCATCGGCCATGCCAGAGTTGTCCTGGTTGAGTCTTCGACGTCGAAGGAGAGCGAAGACCAGAACGGCCAAGATGGCCAGGGCAGCGGCACCACCAACAGCTGCTCCGACGATGGTACCTGTCGGGAGCGGACTGTCACCCTCATCTCCAGCAAAGGGATCTGACCCGTTCGTCTGAGCCGGGGGACCTATGCCAGTGCTTCCAGATGTTGGCCAGGTGCCTTCGTCGACCCAAGAAGAGGTGCTGGTGCTGACCTCGGGCAAGAAACTCGGTGTCCTGTCGGTAATGATGAGAGTGTGCTTGGTGACGGTGACCTTGTTCGGGTTTGGGATCGTGCGGGTAGTGCCCGAGTCGGTCATGCTCTTTGAAGCTGATTCCTTCATCTCTGTCTCTGTCGCAGTCTCGTCATCTGTCTGTGCCGATTCTTCGATTGAGATGGTCGACCATTCCAAGTCCTCGTCGGCTGTAGTGGTCGGTCGGGTTATGGTACTCGTGATCATGCCGGTTTTGGTTTGATGCTCGCTCTCTGTGATGAACTCGGCGAAGGATGTTTTCATGTTGAGAAAGATGCAGCGGTCACCTGGGATGCACGGGTTGTAATCACAGCAGCCGGACCACTGGCTGCAGTACCAGTACTTTTCGCCAGAATCGCATTTGCTGGTGGTAGAAGCGGCGCTGGTAACACCCATCAGGACAAACAGGGGGAGGAAACACAGACAGAGAGGAAGCAGTCGATTATGGAGAACAATAGAGGAAGAGAGAAGAGGGGAGAAGGGGAAGAAGAGCAAGGGCCCCATGTTTGTGACCTTGAACGACGTGCCCGTTGGCAACCAGTCGGTCAGTTTGCAACAAGCAGGTCGCAGCTGCCGTGAATCTGAGGAGAAACCCGAAGGCGGTTGGTACTTAAAAGGTCGCAGCGCCCAAGGCCGATGATATTCCTTTGGGCTTTTGCATCAGGGCGAAGTGAAAAGCGAGACAATAGATGAAGTCGGAGGAGATGGTCACGTTTGTGTTGATGACGGAGAAAGAAAGGAAGGCAGGCGTTCGTCTGATGTTGGTGCCGTAGGTGTAGCTTCTGTGCCAGGTGTTGACAGCTGCCGGCCAAATCTCGCCGACCGGCCCGTAGAGCACAAAATAGTAGAAAACAGTAGCAAATGATGACGCCTCGAGTAACTGTTTCCCTCCCTTTCCCCTCTTTACAGCAAACGAGTCGTGGGACCGAGTCTCGGCCAAGTGTTTCCTCTAGGGGAGTAGGATAGGAGTACCGAGGCTCTGTGACAGGTAATCAGGACGGATCTTAGGAAATGCAAAGAGGTGCATGTTGAGAAAAAGACTCGGATTGGAATTAAGAACTAGAAGTAGCACAGGCAATATCGACTTGACAGTTGCTCGCCACTGCCTAAGCGTGTAAAAGCAACTCCCGTCGATATCGACTCCCTCATTAACATCAGCAGCATTTCACCCCCAATTTTCTCTCCTTTGCATCAATAGCAACATGAAACGTCTATTCTAGTTACACATTTTCCTCTTCGGGCGTGACAATGTTACACGCATGCACCCAAATAGATCACGATACCCGTCAAAGCTCCTACACTCCTTCTCCTTGTCCTCTCCTCGACTCTACACTATAGAGATACAAAGCACAAAGGCAGCTGCATGAAGCGTGATTCCGATTTGCCCTGCGTTAGGGGCACACACAGCATTAGCGATGGTGAATCACCTCCTAATCGTAGAAGAGATATTCAGAGGCCTGCATAGCTCGGCTGAGTCCACTTCCATTGTTCTTTTATCACATTTACTGAAATCATAGAAAAACAGGACTTGACCAGAAAATATGGAAGATAGTTCTTTGCTCGTTCGTACTACTCTGGTGGTCTGGTTACAGATGTGTGTGACAAGGCTGCCTCTCTATGCGAGACAGCACAGACTGGACCAGCTCAAATCAGGACGCGATCAAGGCAGGATGACATTGTCCGTGATATCATTGTTGAAAACACCTAGTTTTATACGCCAAATGCAAGAAACCTGACTCTAACCTGGTCTACGATACTCGTCCTCCTACAGCTTCTCCAACAACAGCTTGCTACCCGCATTACCAACAGGCTTGTCGCCCTTCTTCTTCCCCTTCTTGCCTCCCTTAGGCGCAGCTTCATGTGCCTCTCGAGCCGCCTTTTGCTCCGCCGTCTCCTCTGTCGCAGCCTTCTCCAAGGCCTTCTTGTTCTTCTTAAGAATCTTCTTGAGCGCATCCGCCTCGCTAAAGTCGCCAGCCTCGAGGAGACCGACGACAACAAACGAGCTGGGACCAGTTGCCCAGTCGAGGATGTGCTCCTTAACGATTGGGTAGAGGATGTTGGAAAACTCCAGGGGCGGGTCGGCAGGGATGATCTTGCCGGCCGCCTTGTCATACTTGCCGCCCTGAATCAGTGATTTGAGCATCCGACCACCGTGAGGCGTTCGAGAGATGTGGACCTGAGGCTGCAAGTCATCTTCAGACGGCTCTTCGCTGGGGTCCCCACTGGCAGACTCTGCGATCGCTTCCAGAGCCTGCTTCTTGTCACCGACACCCGAGAGAAGGACGTCCGTGATGAACTGACAACCAAAAGCGGTCGAAGTCAGTTCTGAAGAAGCCTCTGCAACAGCAGAGACGAGCTGAGACGATACAGCAGCAATCAGTTCGGCACGTCGGGCGTCTTCATCCTTCTTACTTGTCGTCTTGCGAATCTCGTGAACCTCCTTAAGAAGCTCGACATCAAATGAGTGGCTAGGAGGGAATAGAGACTTGGCCAGACCCTCAAACAGATACAGGATGGTTGTTCGGGCAAAGGGGTTGTTGGCTGCGGCAACGACGTTCTGGGCAATGTTCTCGCCCTCGCCCAGGAGCTCAGGGAAGATGGACTTTGCCGTGAGCTTGGTGTCGTCGACAACATCGTACGCCGTCAGGATAACAAGGTGAGCGAAGGGGTCGCCCGACATGAGGAGGTAGGTGTCCTTGTAAGTCTTGAGGATCTGCTTTCGGTCTTTTGAAGATCCGTAAGCAAGCAGCAAGCAGGCGAGCTTGGCACCATTGCGAGTAAAGGCCATGTTCTTGAGCAGATCTCCGCCCTCATCTCCCTTGACCATCTCGATAAACTCGGTGAACTCCTCAGTGCCGGGCTGGGTGTTGGAAAAGTACTGGAACATGGCGTCATGGAGCATTGTGAAGCCCGTCAGCTTCTTCTGAACCAGCGAGTTGATCATCTCGACCAGACTCTTCATGATAGGGCCTCGCTTGCTGGGCTCGGCTTCGATGATGGCCTTCAGATCCGCCGTGGGCTCCGTGTCCTTGGTAAGCTCCTTAAGAGAAAACTCGGGGCCGTACCATTCGCGGAGGAGAATAGCCTTCTGCTCCTTTGTCGCAACGCCTCGGTAGATATCATCGAGAATCCAGGATGCTTCGGAGTGGTTGATCAACTTGCGCACTCTTCCGTAAAACTCGGGGATGATGATGTCGCGAATCTCCTCGTCGTTCTGAACCAGAAGCTTGCCAATCAAGAACTTGGCATATCGGCTCTCAGCAAGCTGGGCGTAGGTTCCCTTGAGCTCTCGGGCAATCTGCTTCTTCTGATCGGGTGTCGCGTACTTGATGGCGGTCTGTACAGCTCGCACGGCGTCGTGCTTGAGAACGAAATCGCGAATGCGCCCGTTGATGATGGTGAACAGCTCGTCGACTAGAGTCTGCCTCTCCTCCTTGGGCACGTGCGATTTCCGTCGCAGGCGCTCCCACAGCTTCTTTGTGCGGTGAACTTCGTCAGCGAGAGGCTTCGCGGCCTTGCGCTCTTGGGCGAGCTGCTTCTGCTTTGCATGGGATTCGCGCGAGGTTTGACCTGTTGGATGGTTAGCAAGCTATACGAGAGCCGTGATTATGATTGTAGACCTGCCTCGCTCGAAGGTCTTTCCATCGGAAGGCTTGGATTCCTTCTTTTCGTTCAGATCGACACCTCCATCCTCAGAGTCCTCCGAACCAGCTTCAGGTTCCTTGGCTGGCGGCGCTCGCTTGGACTTGGTCTTGTCAATCTTGAACTTCTTGGCCCGGTATTCGGGCTTAGCCTTGCCAGCAGGGGCAGACTTTCGCTTGCTGCCAACTTCCGCTGTTTTCGTAGCCATTGTCGTGGTCTTGTCTGGGTCGAGATCGTTGGATGGAGAGTCGCAGTTGAGAGACCCAGCAACTTTTTTTTCTGAACCAGCCGATAAGGACGAGTTCTTGCCGCTTTGGTTGCTGATAAGATAGGATCCACTTTTCGAGTTCAGTGCAAGTGCTCGTCACGTGCACCCCTTGACAGCCTTCTAATAGTCGGCAAGACTATATCTTATATTTTTAACGTTAATCTGTCTGAGACATGTTTCCTTCCTTCATGAATCTGCAATTGGACTCTATGAGTTATGTAAGAAGAGTAGCCCGTTTGGCTGGGTTCCAACTCTCAAACGAACATCTCTGTTAGTTAGTGTATCAGTGCCCCAAGAAAGCTGGTATTCAAAGGAATGGGTAGTCAAGTAACCGAAAGGCTATCATAAAAGACTTCCCTTTGCCTGTTTTGAGCGTGTTAAATCATTTTTAACATTCCGGAACAATTGCATGGACCTAGTATCAGGAAGCAGGGAGACCCATGAAGCAAGTTGTTAGTGGAGCAGTCTATGAGTCTGGCTGTCCATGTTTGAGCAAAGACTCGTTATGCAGTTACCAGATCAGCCTTCCCATAGGCAGTCTTTGTATCTCCGTTAAAAGCTTTGCGTTCTAGATCCCCATTCCATCCATTATGAATCCTTTGCTCCGCACCAGGATGCCCTGACTAAGGACAGAAACTTCCCGTACATCAGTCATGATGTGCATCAAAAGCAAATAAATAAAAAAGAGAGCACATCGAGACATTCTCGCAATGTCTCACTTTCAGTTTGTAGAGAGGACCATTCATCAAGTATTGGCGATGCCGATCAACTCCCAAGCACAAGAGTCAACTCTAGCCGGCAGATCAACTCGCCCCTGAGTCTCGACCGGGTGCCACAATGGACACAGAAAAAAATAAGGCCATTGACAGACAGTCTTGCCTCACGGGAGTCCTGCATGTTGCCACAAAAGACTTTTGCTGCACGTGAGGAGAGCCTGCATGCAAGATGAAACCGCCCAGTCCCTCCCGATCCCGGCCTTGACTCTGGGGGACTTGGGAAACCAGCAATCTTCATCCCAAAGACTCAATTGATCTTTAGACAAGTTGAATTCTCGAAATATGGCTCACATGGACGAATTGGACCCTCCTTCCATCTCCGAGATCGCGCCCAACATCTTTGTGGGCAACGTCGCGAGCTCTTTGAATCGCAATGTCCTCAGACACCACAACATCACGGCCATCGTCTCCCTCCTCGATGGCGGATATGCGAAGTGGAACAGCCCGAGGAACAGACAGATTGTGCCTCAAGAATGCCATCTGTTTGTGCCTTGCCTAGACAACTCGACAATGGACATTCTCACGCTCCTAGACGAGATTTGCGCCTTCATCGACTTACAGCTCAGTCACCAATCTCGACCACGGTCACCCTCGTCTCTTCACTCAGAGGATCTCGACTTTGACTCAGCCCCTTCAACGCCCAGTGAAGCGCCAACCGAGGAGCCCAATATCTTGATCCATTGCCGTTTAGGCATGTCCCGCTCTGCCTCTGTCGCTATAGCATACCTCATGCGCCGCCGCGGCGAAAGCCTGGACGTGATCCTCCCCGAAGTCAGAACTCGACGCAAAGTCAAGCCGCGAGACAATTTCATGGACCA